ACTGTCAGCACAGTTCATGAGAAGAGCCAGTGGTGAGAGGGAGCACCACGTCATCTGAGCACTACTTGGGAGGCCCCAGAATAATTTTTTTTTAAATAAGAAAGCCTGTTTTGTGAATTTTGCTTCAATTTTCTTTTGAAAAGTAAGAAGAAAATAGGGACCAGAGGGATAACACAAGTGTTAGAATGCATGCATATAGCCAGCCCTTGTCTGATCCCTGGCACAAGTATCTGTCCCCTCTCCCGGCAGTGCCCAATACAGACCTGGATGCCCCCATGCCCAAGCAGCTCAGTGTGAAATTCTCCCCAGCCAGAAGAAATGTCCTATGACTCAGTTGGCAGACCCAGTTGTCCAAGAATCACTGGGAGGGGCCCCCTGGCCTCGTGAGCACCAATTGGAAGACCCCCAAGTAAAGAAAGAAATGAGAAAAATAAGTAGCAAAAAAGTTAAACAGTAGGCAGAATCCCTGCAACTGCACACCAATTTCTAAAATCCGGTTTTCTGGAAAAGCAGAATCTGGATACCAGAAAGCCTGTCCCTTGACAGGCAAAGCTCTTTCCGTTCCTCAGAACTACCTCTCACCTTCTATAATCAAATTATTAGCATTCTTGGGGGGTTAGGCTAATCATCACACAGATACAATTTATTTAATATCCTTTTCTCTCTCCCCCAACACTGAAAAATAAGATAATAGACTAACTTCATAATTCTACTTAGTCATTTCATTCAGTAGCATCTGTTTAACATGATTTGCAAGAATCTGGCTGGCAATGAATGTGGTCGGATACATCTGCATAAAGGAATTTTATTTACATATTTTTTCTTCTTAAACACTAGGATACTTAAAAAAGGCCATGTCTTGGAAATTCAGACAAACTCCAGTAGGATTATTTTTTAAAAGCCATACTGGATAGTGTTCAAGAAATACCATTTACAGCTGAGGACCAGACTATTAAAGAATATAATATAATATCAAATAATAAGAAAAAAACCTAAAATACGGCTTTCTTTTAATATGACTTGCCTACTAAGCATGCACAAAAAAATCTGACTTCTTTAGCATGAATTCCCAGAACAAACCGTTCCTGAGTGTTTGAGTAGGAGAAAGTCATTCTCTGCATCTTCTTTCTAGTTTAATTATGATTCTAAATGATAGCATACTTCAAAATTTCTTTATAAAATGTTTGTGTCTCATACACATGGATACACAAAAGACAGAAGTTCAAGTAGTATGCCCTTGTTTATCTGAAAAAAAGCAACTATATATATGCCGGTATACATATGCATATATAATAAAATAATTTTTAAAGTACTATTTAAATTCTAAAGCAAAGTCAAACAAATGAAACTTGCAAACTATCAAATTAGTGGCTTAATCACCCAGAGAAACAGTTGGAAATGATTTTGAAAGCACAGCAATGACTTTACCAAAGGATATGCACCTAAACAAAAAATTTTAACTGGACTCAAAACTCAGTAGTTTCATAATTATATTGGATTATTCTGAAGCTACATAAAAATACTAACATGTAATTCATTAAATATAAGCTTTTATGTCAATTGTCTATTACCATTAAGATTTGTATACGATGATCATACACTTTGCATGAAGGAGGCCTGGGTTCAACCCCTGTCACCACAGTCCCCTGATCACCACTGGAAGCCACCCAGGAGCAAAGCCCTAGAGCCATAAGGCAAACTTCCCCCAAACATGGTCAGGTGTTTGAGCATCTTTTTAGTGGTCCTTGTGGGTTAGACTCCAATTGGTAATATTCACACACTAGCTGTAGTGCTGTGGGATTTCAGATGGTACTCAGCACATGGGGCCTGTATCAGGCATCAAACTTGTGGCCTGAGGCTCACAAGACAGCCTCTGAGCCATCTCTTAGCCCCTTTAGATACTCTCAATGACAAAGACATGTGTGTTACTATAAGAGTGAGAACACCAATTTGCTAGTGACTTTTAGCTAAGTGGTTTCCTTTGTTCCTAACCCTTATCCTCCAAGTCTTCAACATCTAGATGAAGGCACCAAGCGGGAACACCCAAATGCACAGCAACCAAGATTCCTGTTTTCACATTCCCAAAGATAGCCCCACCCTCCCACAGCCACTCCCAGCTAGGACCCCTCATCTCATAAAAACACCTTCTGGGCTGGAGCCATAGCACAGCGGCTGGAGTGTTTGCCTAGCACGTGGCCAACCCAGGTTTGATTCCCAGCATCCCATTTGGTCCCCTGAGCCCCGCCAGGAGTAATTACTGAGCGCAAAGCCAGGAATAACCCCTGTGCACTGCAAAAACACCTCCTTTGGGGCTGAGGATAGTAGAGCAGGTAGAAGACTTGCCTTGCAGTCCACCTGGTTTTGGTCCCTGGCATCCCATATGGATCCCCAATCACCGCTAGGGGTAATTCTAGAGTGCAAAGCCAGGAGAAACTGTTGAGTATCACCAGTGGTGGTCAAAAACCAAAAACCAAAGTAAAACGAACAAGAACCCCAAACTCTTCACCTTCTTTGAAGTTCTTGTCCTCCTATCTTCCTTCACAAACACTATAGGTATCCAAGGATTATCCCAGGACTCTGGGACCTGCAGTTAAAGGGCTCAGGAGTTCACCACCTTGTGTGAAATGCTCCAGGTCCTGGCTTCCTACAAGCCTTGTGTGCAGGGCTGGGGGGTGGAAGAGGTGGGGAGAGAGCAGGAGCTCACCTTCTCCTTTCAGTACCTGATCTCTCCATGTTATTTACATACTGAGGGGGGGACTCTCCCTCAGTATGTAAATAACACCATTTCCTATATCCTCCTCTTCTATATTAAACCACGGAGAGGCAAACCAAGGCCATTTCTGTACTGGAGTTCTGAGCCACAAGGCTGAGCTGCAGAGGCCCGCAGTGGGGTGAGGGAGGAAGCATGGGTCAGAGCTAGCTGACTGATCACTGTTTTAAGGTGGCCCTTCAGTGCTGGATAAGGCACAAGAACAGGCCAGCTACTTTTTTCCCACTCCTCAGAGGACTCAGAACGCTTTCAGATTTTTACCATCTTTCTTCCAATTGGATAGTAAATCCTGTAAGTAAACCATTTGGTTCCCCGGGGCCCTCCAGGAGTGATCCCTGAGCATAGAGCCAGACGTAAGTCCTGAGCACCCAAAAACCAACCAAACCAACTAACCAACCAGTAATACCCATTTGGGGGATGGGAGGGGATCAATACCAGTGGGTTCGATTGAATTTTTTCTTTTCACAAATACATGAATAAAGATGAATCTGAGAGGAAAATTGCAGATGAGCAAGAGCAGAAGAAAGTCAGTTAGATTGTAAAAACCTCGGGCTGTCTGCCATTCTGGCAACATGCTTTATTTATTTACAACTTTCCAAATAGGCAGAATAATAATTCATGTTGTAGAAATAGACAGTAGCTAGAGCCGGTGCAAAGGCTGTAGGTCGATCAAGTTCCCATCTACAGAGGGCTCCGAGCCTTTCAGCCAGGTCCCTTTTGTCTTTAGACTCAGTCCAACAAGTCCTTAAATGTCAAATGAAGGAATAAGGCAGCCAGATGCTGTAAAATCGCTTGGTTCTCGGATTGGTTAAGTGGAAGCAGAAAAGAAAACCACTTTGTGAAAAACACATAAGCACATTTCAACTATCTCATCACAACTCTTAGGTCTTACCACCAAGTCAGATTTTGTTCCAAAGAAGTAGCTCTCGACCATCAGAAACTAAAGCCCAAAGAAGGACATTAGAAAAGGCATAAATGGTGTTTTTTTTTTTTTTTTTTTTGCTTAAACTTGATGGGAGAGAGGGGAAACACCCAACGCAGGAGGACTGAATAACCAAGGGAAAAAGGAGCCAGAGGTGCAGCTGCAGTGATACGGCACACACTGAGGAGGCTATGAGTTCAACCCCTGGCACTGCAGCCACCCAGAGCCGGGCAGAGCCCCTCCTTACAACAACAACAGGAAAAAAAGGGGGGGGAGGGAATAAGGCACACAGACTATAGCAAAATGTTTTATTATTACAATCAAAACCTTTGTGTACAAGCAGTACAGTTCAAAAGCGCTATTTACACAGTGACTCAAGGCCTGACTTTGCACCCAGTGCCCAGCGGGCATGGCAACCAGCTGCAGGAGCAAAGTGGGCACCCCCGCACTGATCTGCACCCTGTCTCCCACCCAGCAGTATCACCACCATGACCATTATGGGTGCAATGACATGACACATGAAATTAGCTCCGCAATGAAACTGGAAGAGAGTCAAGTCAACCAACTGCTGAGGTCACTTGACTCCAAAAAAAGGGCACATCTCATTGTTAGAAAAGTGCTTAAGTCCCTGAGCCCTGCACTGAGCTAATTATTCTTCGAGAAAGCAAAAACTGGGCCAGGGAGAAACTATGAGGTGATGGTGTGCTACGGCGCATGCCTTCCATGTAGCCCATCCCATGGATCCCCAACACTGCATGTACCTCCGAAGAATTCAGCAGGGGTAGCACCCCGTAACCCCAGGTGTGATCCTGCACTAAAAAAAATTTTCAAGGGGGTGGAAAAATCATAACCTCATGTTCGTTATCAATGCTCTGTGCAAAACAGCCAAAAAATTTATTGAAGACACCCTTACAATGTAACTGGCATATATATACCTGGTAAACTATTAATTATACTAGAATACCAGGAATTCAAACCAAATTGTAGGCAAAGTCTCTTCATTCTCATTTCCCAGCACCTTCTCTACAATAGCTTTAAGTTAGGCCTGGCTTATGGATTGTGGGGCCACTGACTGCCAGATGTAGCACTTAGCATCATCATGGAAGAAATGAGTGGCAGCCAAGTCTCAACAGGGACCATTCACGTCATCACATCAGCACAGTACATGAAGAGTCCACGAGGGAGCCATCTGAAGTACTATACTCCATTTTCCAGCAATTAACCTAATTTTTCCAAATGGCTTTAAGACCTTGACTCTGTTAAAACTAAACCATACTCAAGTGTTTTTATGCAAACAGAAGTAAGGCTGGTCTCTGGAACCTAGTCGAAGTACTTAATGCGAGAACTGTGTTTCTAAGTGCTAGGCTTTACAGTGGATTCCAGGGCCATTTCAACACCAAAGAAATCAAATGTGCTTTCATAAAATGGCCATTTAGAAAGGACTCAGAAATGACATGGTAGGAAAACAGGGGGGCCTGGGGCAAAGGCTAAAGGAAAGCAAAAGAGAATCTGCAGGAGGCCTAAGCATAGCTAGCAAATACCCCCATGATGCTCAGAAACACAAGAGTCCCCATGATCTAAGCATCCTCTAAAACAGGCTGATGCGTCGAAATTCCAAACTCTGGTTTCAATCACAAGAAAAACGGAAAACTTGAACAAGATGGTAAAAGGCAAGAAGTGATGGATCTCCCAAGCTTTATGCTTGCATTTCAAATTCCTGTTTCAGACTGAAAGAGAAAGGGGAGCATGTCAGAACAGTCATCAAAAGAACAGAACTCTTTCCAAAACCTAATTTACTTTCTCAGAAATGTTTGGGAACCAGAGAGCTAGTGTAGCAAGTGAGATGCTCGCCTTGCACACAGCTGAGTCAGATCTGATCCCTGGCACTCTGCACGATCCCCTGAGCCCCACCAGGAATGACCCTGAGCAGAGCCAGGAGTTAGGCCTGAGCATCACAGAGAAAGCTGCAGAACTTCCAAATGTGGCTCCCAAATCAAAATAGGTAAAATAAAAATACTTATATTTTTATATAGGGCCAAGCACACACACCTTAATCCTACAACTTTATAATATTGCAATGGCGGAACAGTTTTGTTTGGGCAGTATCTGATGGGGCTCAGATGACTGTCCAGTGCCAGGAAGAGAAGTAGGGACTCCTGCACGCACATCGGTGCTCAGGTAAGGGATCTCTCCGGCCTCTTGACTTTTTACAACCTGTGCCCCCCCGCCCCCCAATCATCACCACCCAGATGAAGACACAAAAGGTTTCAGACATCCCCAGGGCCCCAACTCCCCTTCCAGTCAATATACAGACAGGCTTTCTTCTCAAAGAGAATTACTTATCTATGGGCATGAGGGGGGTGGCGGCGGCACATCATTACCTTTTCAAGTATGCATGTACATTCCCAAAGCCATGATACTTGGCTAGATACACAAGGACCCCTGTCGCACAGCGCCCATCTCGCTGCCGACAAAAACTGCAGTTGCAGATTCCACGACATGGCGGGCAATGCCAGTTCTGCAGGAGGAAAGGCAAGAGAAAAATCAAGTCTTATCACTCTTTACTTAATACTCTGGAAGAGGTGCCATTGGTTTCACTTAAATCATTTTATGGAACTGGCAGCTGGGGCCACACACAGAGATGCCTGAGGGTACTAGTGTTATCTTTCCAGGGCTGGGGCATTAACCCTGGGGCTCCAGCACCCAACCTGCCCACTAGCCCCTTTACGATAGTGCCCCCCTCACCCCGCTCCTGTATGCCATCTTTGTATCTAATATTATGCAACAAAAGGAGCATGGTTCCTATCATGAGTTGTGCTTTATGTTCCCTGTGATAGCAAGTCATACGGCAGTTACCAGGGAGAGCTGGAGAATAAGCTTCCTGGGAATAGCCAGGGTTCCATCACCATCCAGTACACTATGAGCTGATCTGCCACCCCCTGAAGTGAACACCCCACAACAAGTCACAGCACAGTCACGTCCACCTCCTCTCTCCTGCACTCTCATCTCGACAGCACAGTGCCCCATCAAGGTCCTCACCGGATCCAGCAGAGCATCCTTCACCTCCTCCCCATAGCGGTTTCGAAGGCAGGGGCCACAGAACTGGCCTCGAACTCCCCAGCATTCGGGGTTTCGGCAGTTTGTTTTGGTATCAATTGTTTTCTGGCGGCACTGATGACAGGTAGATCCCTACAAATAAGAAGCAGAGAAGAAAACAAAAACCTTTCTTATGTATTTGCCTTTTGTAACAATGTGGACAAAACTAGAGGGGGTCCTGCTATGTGAAGTAGGTAGGTCCAGAAACAGACACTCACTGGAGGACGGATGCCACTGCTATGTGGGATAGTGAAGCAAAGGAAAGGAACAGAAACAGCCAAATGCAAACAGACCCTTGAACTGAAACTCGACTAAGGTCACCAGTGGGGAGAGGGAACATGGGACCTAATGGGCTCACAGCAGAGGGACTTGGTAATTCGGTGTTGTGGGTAGCACTGTAGCACTGTCCTCCCCGTTGTCCATGGATTTGCTCGAGCGGGCACCAGTAACTTCTCCATTGTGAGACTTGTTATTGTTTTTGGCATATCGAATACGCCACAGGGAACTTGCCAGGCTCTACTAGGCAGGAAGAATACTCTCGGTAGCTTGCTGAGCTCTCCGAGAGGGATGGAGGAATGGAACCTGGGTCGGCTGCATGAAAGGCAAACGCCCTATCTGCTGTGCTATCGTTCCAGCCCAGGTGTCGTGGGTACTCTGAAAAAATGTATTTAAGGATAATCTGAAATTATACCCTTAAACATAAAATCTGGTAAGCCAATGACCTCAATTTTTGTTTTGGGGCCACGACTGGCAATACTCAGGGGCCACATGGGATGCTGGGGATAGAAACCAGCCACCTGCAAGGCAAGAGCCCTACCTGTTGCACTACTGCTCCAACCCCCCAAAGGCACACTTAAGAATGTAAGGCTGGGGAGATGACTCGGTGCTAGCATACAAACTGCAGCTTAGACTTGCCAGCACTGCATGAAGCAACCCCCAGACTGGCATAGCCCCAAAACCAAAATTTAAAAACAAAAATCAAATAGGAAAAGGTCCTTTGTGGATAGTCTGATCTAGCTGACATCTTTATACATGTGTATGTGCCAAGGCGGGGCTGGAGCAATAGCACAATGGGTAGGGCGTTTGCCTTGCACACGGTGGGCCCAGGTTCGATACCTCCGCCCCCTTGAAGAGCCCAGCAAGCTACCAAGAGTATCCCACCCCGCACGGCAAAGCCTGGCAAACTACCCGTGACGTATTCGATATGCCAAACATAGTAACAACCAAGTCTCACAATGGAGACATTACTGGGCCTGCTTGAGCAAATCGACGAACAACGGGAGGACAGGGCTCATGTGCCAAGGCAAGAGAATTCATTCCATTGGCAAACAACAAATGACATTGCATACAGCTAATATTATCAAAACTTTTTTCAAAAGGGAAAATTTTTGTTTTGTTTTTAGGCACACCTGGCAGTGCTCAGGGTTTACGCCTGGCCCTGTGCACAGGGCTCATTCCAGGCAGAGCTTATGGGACCACATGCGTGCTACAGATAGAAACAGAGGTCAGCAATACAAGGCAAGCACCTTCACCCCTATGAGAAGAGATCTTATCATGCCAAAATATATACCCAGATTTTCTTTCGTTTTTGGTGGAGATGGAGGCTACCCCCACACGCATGGTCCTCTGGGGTACTCCTGGCAATTTCTGGGGAACCAAGCAGCACTGAGTATTTAACTTGAGGATCCTCCATGCAGAGCATGTGCACAGCCTAATAAGCTGTTTCTCTGGTTCCCCAAATTCTCTTGCACTGTTAGTATCTACCTCGTCCCTGTGCGGCTCCATGCATGGAACACATTCACACAGCAATTCTGTGGAGAAGAAATCACTTGCTGAACAGAAAACACGGATGATCGAAGCCTTACAGAGGCTCCTATCATACGTCAAACACATGTGCGTGTGCCTGATATGCTAAGACCTTTAAAACATGAGCCAAGCTCCAGAGATGCTGCAGCTGCTTTCTCCTGGGTATTTACATCTACAGGCCCAGTTCCGAGGCTCTTACCGACGAACTGCTATAGATCTTCTCTCGAGAGTTGCTGCAGATATTCTCCAACTCTTCCTCTGTGATCTCCTCCACGGGGCGGATGATATGTGGAAGGGTCATGGAACCAGGACGGCGACTCCTGGGCATGTCATCATCCTGCCAACCGAGAAACCCAGAGCAGCGCTGTTACTAGCCCTTTCCCTCCTTGCACTTCGGGGTCCAGATTCCTAATTTCTTTGCAGAGAATTTAAACTGGAAATCTTTGTTGGAGCTTATAGGGGCCATGGGGGAATAGAGGGGCTGGGGGGGAGGGGTAAATCCTAAGTCACCATGAGAGTAATGGGACATCATGGAAAGAATCCCTCACAGGGAAAAAAAGTCAAAGAAAAACTTGACTTTCTGCTGCTAACTCATTATCTACCCAGTACAATTGTGAGCAGTCTGAGGGCAATGAATAGGGATGATAAGGTGTGAAGGCAGTACTGAGATGTGCGTATCAGGGTCATGTGTGTGATATTGGGTCTAAAACAGAAGCAAAAAACACAACACCCAGTAAGAGAGAGAGAACAAAAGGGAATGCCCTGCCGCAGAGGCAGGGTGGGGTGGGGTGGGGAGGGATGGGGGGTGGGAGGGATACTGGGATCCGTGGTGGTGGGAAATGGGCACTGGTGGAGGGATGGGTATTTGATCATTGTATAATCGAAACCCAAGCACAAAAATTCGTAAGTCTACAACTGTACCTCATGATGTCTCACTAATAAAAATAAAATATATATATTGCATTAAATTTTTTTAAAAAGTAAAATAAAAAAAATAAAACAGGAGCAAAGACAAATGTGTGTGGGCCAGAGTGATAACACAGAGGAGAGGATGCTCGTCTTGCATGCAGCCAACCTGGGTTTGATCCCCAGCACCCTGTATGGTACCCAGAGCACTTTCAGGAGTGATTCCCGAGTGCAGAGCCAGGACTAACCCTTGAGCACCACTGGATGTGGCCCAAGACCGAAACAAAAACAAAAAGAAACGAACTCACATTCATGAAAGCATCCATAGTCTTCCTCCTCCTCACCAACATGTACTTGTCTTCCTCCTCCTCCTCCTCTTCCTCCTCTTCCGTGGGGAGCGTCCCAAGGGAGCCCAGGATCCGGGAGCGGGCCCTGGTGAGGGGCCGAGCTCTCCGCTCAGAGTGTCTTCTGGAAATCCCACCTGAGAATGTGCGCCTTCGAGGTGTCTTTGCTTGCTAACCAAAACACATAAAAGGAAACCCACTTATTCCAGAGTGACAAGAAGGGGGCCCCGCTTCTACTTTCTTTGGTCCTTTCCTGAATGACCAGAAAGCCCCCCAAGTCAGGTATCTGTCCACATTGTGCTTTTGTAGTGCCAAGTGCAGCTGCTTTAAATCTGAGAGATGATCTATTTACTCTTCTACTCAATAAAGATGCAAGAATAGACCTCATGGCGCATATGCTGCCCAAGCCCTTGTGCTGCTTGTGCCCATGTGGCCAAGCACATGTGGCGCCCGCATCTTCCCTCTTGAGATGTGTACTTTTCTATCTAATGCCGGGATGTGTGTAGGGGCTCTCTCTGCCCTTGGAGAAGCCTGGGTTCTCTCTTAAGCATTTCACTTTCTCTCTCTCCTTCCCCTTCCTAAAGATCTCCAAATAGAACCTCATGTTCCAAGAAAACTTGTTCAACATCTTGAGTCTTGGGCCACAGAGATGACTCCAAAGACTGGACTTCTTAGTCTTTGCATGTTGAAGGCAGGGTGTCCAACCAAATTTTACTCCTAGTACCTCTAGGAGCAACCACCAAGCTGGAAGCAGGCCTCCAGCACCACTGGTTTTGGCACAACCCTCCTCCATGAAAATGATCAACAACACTGCACATCTCTTGATCCCTATTCCTAGCTGCATCAGGATAAAGGTACAATACATGTTTTTCTTTCTTCCAGTCCTTGTTTACAGGCTTTATATGGCCCCGGGGAAAGAAGTCCCACTCTCCCACCCCCGTTTTGCACCACAATTTGTAGTGCTAGGGAACCATACAGTGCCCAACCTACTGAAATATGCACATCCTTTGCCTCTGAGAGCCCAGTGCTACTCCCCGGTAGAACCAATGGTCCCCTGAGCAAAGCCTGAAACAGCTTTTGAGCATAGAGTCAAGGAGTCCCTACATACCACTGGGTGATGACCCACCCTCCGCCCCCACAGCCCAATCTAAAATAGTAAGCAAGCCTAGTATTATATACCCACCAAACAGGAGGAATGTGCTAAGCTGGAGATGAAAAAGATGTGCTAAGCTGGAGATTAAAAAGAAAAAAAAAAACATGGAGCTTGATCTATAGTATGGCAGGTAGGGTACTAGCCCTTTGTATGCAGCTGACCAGGGCATTTCATCATGTCCCCTGGATATGGCCCAGACTGATCCCTCATCACAGAGCCAGGAGTATGCCCGTGCCCTGAGCATTACCAGGTTTGACCTCAAAACAAATAACAATACGAACCCATAAAAGAGTTAAAATGGGCTGAGCAAACACTTTGTATGCAGGAAGCCTGGCTAAAACCCAATGACACATGGTCCCCACTAAAAATCTCTGGGAGAAAGTCCTCAAGTATGAAGTACAGCCCCCAAACTAAAATAAATAAACATGTTTCAACCTGTCAACCCTGCTGTGAGGAGCTTTGTCTGGTTGGGTATGAAGAAATAATAATGAAAGGGGGTCTTAAAGCCATTGAGATGGGACATAGGGAGGGTATGCCAGTCCCAGGGCAAAGGCAGAGATGCATCAACAGCACACCAAAGAAGAAAACTGGGCTTTAAAATACCCTGATGGGGCCAGAAATGTAGCACAGAGGTTAAGACACTTGCTTTGCATGCAGGTGAGTGACCCCAGTTCAAACCGCAGCACTGCATATGGTCCTAGGAGCCTCTTCAAGAGTAAGCCTTGAGCACCCCCAGGTGTGAAACCAAAATCAAACAAAGTACCCTAGATGTAGGGGCCAGAGAGATCTACCCTTGCACTATCCTCGAACATAGCTGTCTCAGGTCAATCTCTGGCATTACATATGGTCCCCTGATGCCCATCAGGAGTGATGCCTAAAGACACCCAAGAGTATGTCCTGAAACCCTGAAATGATATCCTAGGATATGTACCACACACATGCCCCCAAACAAAGTCTTTTCCTAACAGAAAAAGATTTGCACTTACCGAGCGGGGTACAGGCAGGGTGTGCCTTCTTGGGAAGGAACCAGGGAAACTCTCTAATTCTGCCATTAATTTTGCCAGCTAAAGAGACAAAAGTAAACAAATCAGTGGTTTAGAATAACTGCAAATGAGCCACTTCTGAAACAGCCGAGATCAGTACCAGGAGAATGACTCCATGGCTTAGAGGCCAGCCGGGCATTCTAGGGGAAAGGGCAGCTCAGATAGAGAAGGGAGCACCAAATAAAGGGTATTTGGAGGATCCTCCCAGGAGGGGAGATGCATGTTGAAAGTAGACTATAGCCTGAATATGACTGCCACTCAATGCCTCTTTTGCAGACCACAACACCCAAAAGGAGAGAGAGAACAAAAGGGAATGCCCTGCCACAGAGGCAGGGTGGGATGGGGGGATGGGGGTGGGAGGGATACTGGGATCCATGGTGGTGGAAAATGGGCACTGGTGGAGGGATGGGTATTTGATCATTGTAAAATCGAAACCCAAGCACAAAAATTTGTAAGTCTACAACTGTACCTCATGGTGTTTCACTAATAAAAATTAAAAAAAAAAAGAAAAGAAAATTATGGTAGCACTATCACAAAGAGCTTCTGATTTTCCCAATACATCTACCTAGGTTTTTATAGTTTTTTTTTTTTCTCCAAGGTTTAGTTTGACAGTATGGAGAGTTCCTGGTAAACTTAGAATTGAATTGCCTGAATTGCCTTATGACCCAGCAATTTTACTTTTGGGCATCTACCTGGAGGACATAAAAACTCTCTCTCAAAAGGACATATATATTTTCACTAATAAAAATTTAAAAAAAGACATATATACACTATATTCACTGCTGTGCTCAGTACAAGGGCTAAGATATAGAATCAACCCAGGTGTCCAATGACAGATGAATGGATTATGAAGATATGGCATATATACACAATACAGCTGCAAGGAACGATAAAATCATGCAATTTGCCATAACCTGGCTGGAATTGGATGACACCACATTGAGAGTAGTAAGCCAGAAGAAAGACAAACAGAATGTTCTCACTTATCTGTGGAATATAGAATAGTCGATGAAGAAATATATTGTAGTAATGGGGGTGGTAGATCATTCTTGAGCCCAGTATTTAGAGAGAAGAAAAGAGAAGGAAAGAAATCAAGGGGGAGAGAAGAGAACAGGAAGTAATAAGGTAACAGGCGTCAAGGCTTCAGTATCCAAACCACAGACTCAACAACACTGAAAACATGAGATCTAAACTGCAACCACTGAAACTTTGTAATGTCCCATCCAATAGACAGGCAGGGGATGGGGCAGGGGCTGGGGTTTGGGATGGCTTTGGGGACTAGTGGTAGAGGGAAGTTGACAAGGCTCGTAGATTAGTGTTGAAATATATGCCTAAAACTCAACTACTAATATCTTTGTAAATCAGTTTCTTTTCTTTTTAAATCTTTTTTTAAAATTTTATTTTCATAAAGTTGTTCATAAGAATTGATTATACTCACTATTTCAATACCAATCCCACCACCATTACACCATTACACCCTTATTTCAAAGTTTCCCACAGTACCAGCCTGGCCCACAGGCAGATGGCTAGATAATTTATTCTGTATTATTTGTTATGAATAGCATAAGAGATCTGTAAGGGTCTATCTCAGTGATTCAACAAAAAGGGGGGAAAAAAAGTAGAATATTCATGCCACCTTAAAGATTTAAATAAATGGGGTCCAGAGCCATCCCTGCAGCAAGCTGCTCGGTTTCAAGATTCATGAGTCTCTGGATGACAGCCACTAAGGCACTTAAATAGCAGCAAGAGGCCGTTCGTGGACGTGACAGCCAGGACCCGGACTGTCAGAGAGATGGGAAGGGACCGCCCAGTCCCAACCCCATGAGGTCTTGCATTCTCAGCCACTGGTCCCACATACCTGGACTATTCAGCGAATTTAGTCTCTTAAAATGAGTTTCTTAATTACTTATTCTTAATTTTTTTAATCACTAAAAAAATTAAGTTTGGTTTGAAAAGAAATGCAAATTAAAAGTGCACATGAGGTCGGCTCGCCACCTTGCTGAAAAACATTCATTCTTAGAACACAAATTGCTTAGCAAAACGAAGCGCCATGTTCCAAGCCCGATACCTACCATTGCTTTGTTTTGCTTTATATTTAAAGCCCTTTTCTCCAGGAAGTTCATGCCACTTTCATCTTCTGAATCCGAAGTGGGGTCTACCACAGAGGGTTCAGGGGATGCTGCTTTCTGGGGGGCAGCTCTCCTGGTGTTTCTCGTTGGAAACTTCATGGCCACACGCAGTGGTCCAGTGCGTCTACACTGACTGCGAGTCCTGCAGCCGGCTTGGTCAGACTGGGATCTCTAGTTAGAGCAAGAGATGCATTAGGACATGGATGGTCAGGCAGAAGCAGCACACTGTAACACCCCTCTACCAGACACTTGCATCAAATACAATTTAACTGAACACTGCCAGCTCTGGATAACATCGGGAGTTCCAGATCAATTCAGCAACCTGAGCACAGTCTAACTCAGCCCATCTGGGGAATATGGTTCTAAATTGCCTCCTTTGTAGTTCCTAGGCTCATGGACTACACCATCATTTAATATATGAAACTACTGAGTTTCTTAATATATAAAAATCCTCACTTTCTTTTAAATTTCTTGGCATGGAGGGGGAGGAGGGAAAGAGAGGATCTTGAAGTACTTTAAGTAAATCTGGATACGAAGACAGATGTTCTCCCATAAACATGGTCTCAGTGCTTATGGCAGTGTTAAACTATTATCAAAGATGTCTAAATGAAGGGCAAGAGAGAAAGTGTAAGGGGTGACAGTGAAGTGCTTGCCTTCTGTTCAGCTGGGTTCAATTTCCAGTACCATACACAATCCCCCCTGAGAATACCAAAGAAGAAAAGTAAGACTTCATCTATTTTTTAAACTTTGATATGATATACGGAACATGAAATTTGCCATTTTTACCCACTTTTAGGTCTATAGTTGAGTGGCACCAAAAGAAGCCACAGTCGTATGACCATCACAATCATCTCCAGAACTTTTCCATCACCCCAAACAGAAACCAGACCCGGGACACCACAAGTCCTCATTCCCTTCCACACCCAGCTCTGGCAACCACAAATTTTACCTCTGTCTCACTCAATCTGAGAACTCCAGCTGCTTTCCGGGCCATGTTTCATTTAAAGGGGGCGGAGCGGGGGGGGGGGGGGGGGGGGGGAATCGGAGGTGGGATGTGGGGGGAGGGACTGAAAAGATAGTATAGCAGCTGAAGCACTTGCCTTGTACGCGGCTGACCCAGATTCAATTCCCAGCATCCCACACGGTGCACCATCAGGAGTAATTCCTGACTGCAGAGCCAGGAGTAAGCTCTGCGCAGTGCTGGGTGTAGCCCAAAACCAAAAGAGTGAAATTTTTAAAATTTTATTTACAGGGGTCTCTCCACTGGTAGCTGAAGATCAGGGACCGCTGGCCATAATCCTCCCACTTTCCACCGTGGTCCACTGCCTGCTCATCTGCTTGGCTAGTAGTAAAGTGCCACACACCCCAGGGCAGGGAGAAGAGGAGGTGTTAGGGACCTCCAGCAAGCAGGGCAGAGCTGTACTCTTCTGCTTTACCTCCTTAGTGCTAAGTCTTCAAATTGTTTTGTTCTAAGGTCACCAAATGGTGCCTGGGTTAGAACTATGGTGGGCTGCATCATACAAGGCCTTACCCCCTGCACTATCTCTTTGGTGCCTACATTTCATCATTTGGGGGGGTGGTTGGTTATACCTGGTAGTGGTCAAGGGTCTGTGATCAGGGGTGACCATCCCTGACAGTGCTGGGGGGGTCTTCAACTGGGTCAGTCAAACACAAGGCAAATGACTAAACTCCTATACTTTCTCTCTGGCCCCATTAAACTTAGAATTTTTTGGTGTGATTTCAAGCTGGTGGTATATGGGAGCCTTGGGTTGAATTCTGACAAAACAAAGAACTAGGAATAGCTTCTGCTCCTACCCTCATTTTTAATTTTTCAGAGTCTAAGAATAACATAGGTTTCCACTCTTTTAAAATATATTAACATTAGTTGGGGAGCACATCACCAATCACCTATGAACTACATACAAATCAGAATCACAGGTAGAATCTGCTACCATTTCACAGGTAGCAGAGTAAAATTCAAATCTCTGAAAGTCTAACATGATGTGGAGAAACTACAGCCTATGTCCACTGCCAGCAGAATGCACAATATCAGTTTTGGGAAAAGTCTGTCATTTCTTCGGAAGGTTAAACAGACTCAGGAAGTCCAGTCTGACATCTAGAGTGCACCTCCCCACAAAATCTGTACATAAATGCTCATAGCATCATTCACAACTGGCGTAAGGTGAAAGGGGCTACAGAGGTCGGGCTAACAGGGGTTAAGGTATTTGCCTCCAAGCTCCCTTCTCAAAGGTGCTAACAAGCGTAACATCTACCAAATCATGGAAGGATAAATAAAATGCCAGCACTTCATATGGTCCTCAAATCTGCCAGGAGTGATCCTTAAACATGGAGCCAGAACACCACCAGGTGTACCCCAGCAACACCCCCCAAAGTAGCCTATACATACAATGGAATATTATTTGGTAATAAGACGATATTAAGTAATGGCACATACTACAAAATGGAATAAATTTAGAAATATGCCAAGCGTTTAACAGAAGACCATCCATTATATAGCATTATATAGGTCCATTTACATAGAACATTTCCTAATAGGCTTATCTATCATGACAGAAAGTAGACCAGTGGTTGCCAGGAGCTGAGAATATTGGGAAAGACTGTGAAATGACTTGAAGAACAGAGAGCTTCTTTGAGGGTTAATGGAAATATTCTAAAATTGATTGTGATTATGTGAGGGGGGTTAAAAAATGAGATGAAGTCCCAGAAATATAAGAGCCCATTTTTTTTTAAACATTCAAAAATGCCTTAAATTCCCATTGACTTTTAGTATTCTAGTGTACTAGTAATCAGTGTGCACAAATTGAGACTAGAAAGTGACAAAAAACTTTGAAGGTGAAGACTTTTAATTGATTGGCATTGTAATTTTAATGTAATCAATTAATTTAAATGTTACTGACTGGCCACAATGAACAGCATCTACAAAGACTTAAAACTTTGTCCAGAAATAATCTGAACTCTAGACAACGTGTCCATCACCATCCAGCTTAGCATCCAGCTTAGCAGGCCAACAGTATCTCCCATCTGCACTGATTTTGAGCAACAGGACTCAGCAGAGAAGCACTGCAGGACAGCAAAGCAGGCGTTAAGATTCCTTGGCCAGGCACTCACATGCATCAGGGGCCCTAAGTGTGCAAAGCCTGCGTCAAACCAGAAAGAATCAAAATGCATTCACCTGACTATAACACATTGCTGCTTCTGTCTAGCAAGTCTTGCGAAGAAACAGGCTCAGCAGCAGTAGTTGGGGGACAACAACAGAGCTCCAGAATCAGGGAAGGCAACAAGCAACATAAACATGCCAGCCAAGAAAGAAGGAAAAGTGGCAGCAGCAAAGGGCCTCCTTACTAGTCATCAGACACACTCCAGTCCCTATGCTTGGGTTCTCATAGGCTTCCCAATATGGGCCCACTATGGCTATCAAAATGGATCAAAATCCAGGATTGGGTTCTTGAACCTGAATGAAAACGGAGCTCACTGAGCACAAGATAGCACCTCAGAGAAGCCTATATTTCTGTGGCAATGGAAATCTGGAGGTTGGCCAATTTTCTCTTAACAGTTTCCAAATTTTCAGAGCCAACAAAATGTTCAAGACTTGCAAGTAGGAGAACTACATTAGGAAAAACCACTTTCAGATATGAAAAAATTATTCTCTCTTTTTTAAGATCATGAAATATTTGCTGGCATGACCAAACTTTAAATTCTAAAGAAAAAAAAAATTTAAGCTAGTAATGCCATGGCTTTAATTGTACCTTATGTCTTGATATTGGTGCAAGTTTCTCAAACTCACCATTCCATCTTGCATCTCACTTTCTGAGAAACCGAAAAATGATTCATCGTCAGAGTCCTCATGAAAAATACTGGCCAGTTCGTTAGTGACATCTGGCCTTGGTTTCTGCAAAAATCCACAATGGTCTAATACATCTTGCACCTCACTTTCTGAAAAGCCGCAGAAAGATTCATTATCAGAGTCCTCATAAAAAACATTTGCCAGTTCTTCACTGATATCTGACCTGAATTTAGGTTTCTGTAAAATAAATAAATAAATGCCGTTGTGCATTTTTTTTCTTTCTGTTTCAAGAACCAATTTTCCATAAACCGTGCAGAGAGCAAATCACATTTACAAGTGCACTACAAGAGAATAGCTTTTGTTACAAAGAAAAATGGTTCAGAGGTTTACAAATGATTTCTGAGTTGTTATGGCAAATCATCAGGCATGTTAGGTTAGGCGACATTTCAAAAGGATAGAATAAGTAGCTAATCTACCTCCAACAATTACTACCTAGAACCAAGCAAAAAGTGAAATGAAATTACAGTGCATAGTGTATTTTCATAACGGCTGTATAGAAATGTAGGCAAAAAGCAAGCAGTTTTAATCACGCACAAAGCATTTGGGGCATTTTGAGTACTGCAGACTCAATTCTGTTTATTCTCAGGCAGCACTTACCGTGTTTGCAAAATTATCAGAAGCAAAGCTGTCACAACTGTCATCAGAGGATGACGAGGTTTCCATGGAAATCAACTTCACATACCTAAATTTCTTAAAGTTCTTCTTTACTCTGAGATCCTTTTGCTGCAAATGGAAATGGCAATGCTATTAAGTGGGGTGCTCACTATAGTATTTAACTAAAGACATCACTTCTGAGTTTAGTAGACTCAAACAGCTGGTAGGTAGGTTCATTTCTTAAACCACATGTAAAAAAAAAAAAGATTTGCAATTGCTAGCAAAATTTTTTTTAAAACCAGGTTTAACATTCCTAAAAAGATCCCATGCAGGAAATTATTAATGACATTTATGAATTTGTTCAAACATATGTAGTGCTACACCCTTTCTACATAGCCAAAGAACCTCCAAGCTGTTACAATTATACTAAATGCCTAATGTCAAACTCCTAAAATAGGCCCCTCTTTTTATTTTTTTTTAAATTAAACTGTACTTCTGAAAGGGAATTTCAAAAGTACTAAATGGTAAGTGATTTTTCTTTCTAAGCCAAAATCAAGCTAAGAAGGTCTTTTAATGTAAGCTATGGGCTGGCTCTGTACTGTGATGCTAATTTCTCAAGCTACAAAAACTGGGCAGGACCTTTACTTCCAAATGGCAGACTTCCAAGAAGGCCTCTTTCCAATCAGGAGGGGTTTCAGTGGTTTCAGCACAAGTCCTTGCAAATTAGAGCCCTTAGCCCAGTGAGTCAATGGCACAAGGCATGGCGTTGGAAGGTCAAATAGTTCTCCAACCCCAGGGTCAAAGTCTGATTCTATTTCAGCATGGTCTTCCTTTACTTTTCTCTGCTCAAGTTCTTTGGGAACTTTATTCTTAACACTCAACTGTCTGACACTGCCCAACGGGAAATGCCACTGGAACTTATTCTGTCTAAAAATAAGGGTCTTGGGGCTGGAGAGATAGTACAGGGGGTAGGGTGCTCACCTTGCACTCGACTGTCCCAGGTTTTATCCCCGGCACACTATATATTCCCCAAGAATGCAGCCAATCGTTAAGCCCTGAGAACCGGGTGTGTTCCCAAAAACAATAAACAAAAGGACAATTCTAAATAGGGTCTTTACTATTTGAAGGTAGAGGTGTTTTATTTTCATAAACATGGCCATGGACTATACAGAACTGACTCAACATAGGAAACTTTAAAAAGAGCCTAATTCAGGCCTTTGATTTTTTTTTTGGTGCAAAAAAATAAAAGGGAGGGGCCAGAGCCCCTACAGTAGGTAGAGTGTTTGCTGTGCACATGGGCAACTCAGGTTCCATCCCAGGCATCCCATATGGTCCCCAGAGCACCAACAGGAGTAATTTCTGAGTGCAGAGCCAGGAGTAACCCCTGAGCATCACCGGATGCGGTCCAAAAGCCAGTAAACAAATAAATAAATGAGTAAACAAATATATATATATATATATACATATATATATATATATATATATATATACCCTGTCCCTGCAGAAAGCTTTGGAAGGGCAACTCTTCAATAGGTCCCACAGAAATGGTACCTTGATATGGGGGGCATATGGGTCTATCCTTTCCTATGTATGTACCTCGTCCTACAAATCATTCTTTAGTTCAATCTCTTGCAAATAAAATTATTTTCTGATGACTGTCAGTAGCCACATAATTCTTAGTAAGGTTTTAGGGGGAGAAAAGATAGCACAGCAGCTAAGGTCTTCACCTTGCAAGGGGCCAACCCACATTCAATCTCCAGCATCCCCATTGGTCACCCAAAGATCCCTGGTCTCTGAGCTCTTGGCACTGCTGGGTGTGGCCCAAAATCAAACCTCCATCCCTCTAAAGTTTTATCTTTTGCCCTACTGGAAAGGCAGTAAAATGTAACAGGCAGAGCCTTAAGATAGATCAAAGGGTTGAGTGCAGGCTTTGATGCCTGTTAGGCACCAGGAGCCCCACAGCAGAAGAGCCATCAGGGGCACCAGCAGGGGCACCAGCAGGTGTGGTCTAGACCCAACAAAAAGAAATTTAACAGGTGGTGCTACAAGCAATTAAAAATGGTCTCCGGGCTGGAGCAACAGCACAACAGGTAGGGCATTTGCCTTGCACGCGGCCAACCTGGGTTCGATTCCCAGCATCCCACACAGTCCCCTGAGCACCACCAGGGGTAATTCCTGAGTGCAAAGCCAGGAGTAACCGTCTGTGCATGGCCAGGTGTGACCCAAAAAGAAAAAAAAAATAATAATAAAAAAAATGGTCTCAAAAACACCAAGGATGGTTTTCCAAAGAATGAAATTCAAGGCTCCTGAAAGGAGAACAATCTACATTGCCCAGGGCAGGCCACTGTAAGTTGTCAGGAACAGAACTCTGGGCTTCAAAGATGCAGTTTGTCTATTTTTCAGGGGAAGGAAAAAACAAATAAGCAAAGCAGTCATGGTTGAGATAAACTTTTTGACAGGCAAGTAATAGCATTTACATTGTTTCTGAATGCCCCGCATGAAATACGCTTTTTCACATTAGATTTAACTTCTTGCACAGGTTACCTCATTAATCTCACAAATAAGCCCAGAAAGAGGCGTGATGTCCTATTTGATGGGGATCAATATAAATCCAGGCACATTCGATGCCAAGCCCAGTTTGAGGGCTTTATCCTCAACCGAACACCCAACGCCAAATATCACCCAGAGATCTGGCTCTGAAGCCACGCCCCCCAGTACGCCTTTCCCTATTCCCCCACCCACCCTGCCCATCCTCCTCACACAAGTGTCCCCCACCCTAGTTATTTATTTCAAGCCTGTCACTCGCTTTCCTTTCTACCCAGCCCCCACTCTTCTCATCCCTCTAGGGGCTGGCCCCTACCTTCCGGTTTCCGTTAAGAGTAAAAAAGTTGCATTCAGAGCTACGTCCTGCATCTCCAAGACTGGGGTGTTCGGGAAGAGGATAGGAAATCAGCAAACGGCGCGACAACAGTGTGGACCACAGTGTCCTTTTAGTTACACTTGATAATCGCCGGGATCGAATGACGTCCATCCAAGGTGTAATACCCAAACTCTACGGGGACCGCGTCAAAGTAGTTAAACTTCAAAACTATTAACCCGCTGCAGGTGGCTGCAGACTTGAGTGCAAAAGCCGATCCGGAGTGCACCCTAAGGCTGCCCGCACTGCACACGGGTGGGCCACCCACCTGGGTTGGACTTGTAGGACGGGGCAGGGTGGCATTGGGATTCATATCGCAAGGACTAGGCTCCGTCCCGCAGGCACAATAGGGGAACAGTCAGCCCCCAGCTGGCCGCAGTCTGGTCCCCAGCGCACGTGCCATCTCGGGCGCACGTGGCCTCGGGAATCCCCGGAGCTGCCAAACATTCTGCAAAAGACTGGAATCTCCAAATCGTCCTAGCGCCCTGGCAGGGTCCGGGGTCCTTGGTTCTGACAAGCACCAGTTGCACAAAATCTGAAACTTATCTCCAGGGGCGCCGCCCAGAACCGCAACCAGTTGAAAGGCTGCAACAGGCTCTGCAAAGTTGCAAGGAGCCGGCCCGCACCCGGCACGCACCGCCCCCACCCCGCACCCGCGCAGTCCTCACCGGCACGCGACGGGTATCCATGCTAGCAGGACTCGGTCGGACTCGGAGCAGGTAGAGGGGGAAAGCAGCGCGCGCCACGGACCCACGGCGCAGGAGTACTCGATTCCGCGCGGCTGGCGGGAAGACTGCGCACCCCTTGGCCCAGAGGGGCGGAGCTCGGGCCAGCGCTCCCGCGTTGGAGCGCAGGTCCTGCAAGCTGTGGTGAAGTCCCGCGAGGCCCCAAGATTCGCTCAAGCCAAAGTGAAAAGTGAGAACGGCCTGATATTCTTAACTTCTCCTTCCGCCTCAGAGTTTGCTAAAATCAGCTTTGAAAAAGTGGCGGTTTTTGAGTATTTAGACTCTGTCTCTTTATTGTGCTGCGCGGTCCTGAGCGAGTGGCGCGAAAATGGTTCGCTTCGCCCCGGGGTGAGTAAACTGATTTGCATGAATTCTCCGCCCGGGAAAGGAACCATTGCAGACCAAAGACCTGGGGAGGAGGGGGGAGGTGGATGATCTGAGTGACCAGAGACTTAAAATCACGCTTGTTTCCCCGCACTTGGCACTTGGCACTGTGATATTTACTATATTAAAAGATTCTTTTTAAAATCAAGACTGTACTCCACCTTTTATTAGCTGAATCACTGTTCGGGGATCCAAAACCTCTTATCTGGTTAACCACACAGTTATCTGAAGCATTAAAATACATTAAGTTCTGATCTTTCCAGAAAGTGCGTAAAAGAATTGATGTAGGCAGGTAGACAGGGAAGACACCCCTCCTAAGGCAATGGCAAAAGCCAGCCCTGCATAAAGCAGGAAAAACAGGAACTGGGGCCTGATAAGACCCTCACCTATCCAGCTACAGATGCAGAGAAGCTCCAGCAGAAACAAAAGGCCAGGAAAGGAATTTCAGAGAAGACCATCACTTTTTCCCAACCCCCCCTGGTAAACTCCTTAGCAACGGACTTTGACCTAGGTAGAAGCCCCACTTGCGGGCAGGTTGGAGACACCCTATAAAGGCCACCTTGAACAAAGGAGGGGTGCTTATGTTGCCGTAGCCCACCTGCTGCTTGTGCCCACGTGGCCGAGCACGCGGTGCAGGAGCACAAGTGTTCCCCCACATTTCCCCTCTTGAGCTGTGTACTTTTCATGCCTTCGGATCTAATGCTAGGATGTGTATAGGGGTTCTCTCCGCCCTTGGAGAACCCTGTATTCTCTCTTGAGTGAGTTTCTCTCTCTCCCACTGTATAAATAAAATCTATTTATTTCACTGCTTGTCGACTCCTGAAATTCCTTTCTGGGAGGTGAGACAAGAACCCAGTAACCCTGGGTCCGGGTGGCAGGGGCGGTTGGGGAGAAAGTGACCATCTTTCTCCTCCCTGCTTCACATAAGTCACCCGTTGGGCCCACCGATATGAGAATCATACATAAGACGTATGATTTTTTTTTTTAACTTAAAAGTTGCGATCTTACAACACCCAAAAGGAGAAAGAGAAGGGATTGCCCTGCCACAGAGGCAGGGTGGGATGGGGGAGATGGGGGTGGGAGGGATGGTGGTGGAAAATGGGCACTGGTGGAGGGATGGGTATTTGATCATTGTATAATCGAAACCCAAGCACAAAAAATTGTAATTCTACAACTGTACCTCATGGTGTTTCACTAATAATAAAAAATAAAGAAAAAAAAGTTGCGGTCTTAGCTAAATCTTATCAGTAGGATAATAAAATCTAGAGATAAATAGTGAGAATGAAAGATAAACACTTAACCCTGGCTTCCAGATCGATTCACTCGTCAGAATTGAGAATGATCCTAGTCAGAATGAAAATGATGATTTCTTTCCCATTGCCCTTAAATCAAACCTGACAATGTCATTAAATAAAATGTGAGGCTTTCAGGCAAAAAAAAAAAGAAGAAGAAGAAGAAGAAGAAGAAGAAGAAGAAAAGTTGCTTTTAGGATAAAAGGCACAATACATTGGGTGGCTTTAAAAGACCCTAATTAAAACAAGAGTTCTAGAAATAAAAATGTTCACATTTTCTCCCTAAACTTTCCTTGGAGAAGTCCTTTGCAGCAGGAGCTGGCAGGAATACACACTGATTCCTCTCTGAACAGAAAAACTTGTGAACTCATAGTAAAGCAAGACAACGTTGGACCCGGAGAATCTGAAGTCCTGGAACCCTACTTAAACGCTCTTTGTTATGGTCACTGCGATAGCTCAGGACAAAATAGCTCAGGACCTTCGCAGTCTTCTGCAGGCAGGAGGAGGGGGGAGCGGGGAGGCTGTTCTATCTGGCTTTTGTTATTACTAAGAATAAGACAGATATTACCACTTGTGATGAAATAGCCAGCTAATAAAATTGCCCCCAGAGTTGTGTCCTCGTGAAGACAATGTTACGCCTCCTTTTAAGAAAAAAGTTTCAAAATTGTGATTGGAAAACATGCAAAGTAGAGGAAGGATTAAGTCATTGCCCGTGAAAGATTCTGCTGTGAAAGTTCTTGGGAACCAGGGAACAACTTTGCTTACTTTCTTTTTTTTTTTTTTTAAAGGCTAAGCCCTGAGACCTAACCTTTTTTTTTTTTTTTAATCATCAATAAAATGCTATTTTAAAACTGGGAGATAAGTTTCACTTAAGGGGAAAATTTTTTTTTTTCTGTGCTAGCTTGAATTCACAGTAAGGATTCTGCCATTGAGCTACAATCCCCAGTCCCAGGCAAAAGATTAAATGCCTGATAAAGTAAATTGTAGAAAGATGAAAAAATTCCTACAATTATATTGTAAAATTTAAAATTTTAGTGGCAATTTCTGAAAGTTTAGTAAAACCCAGTAAAATAATTTACATACACACACACACACAAACACAATAAAACAGTGTTTACACAATGCCCCAATGTAGGGTAGAACTCACTGGTGGGTAATACAATCAATCTTGTGAACTGAAACTTAAATACATATATATTTTTTCTATCTTTTCTTTCGAAATACAGCTTTAACGTGAGTAATGTGACCTTCATTTCCTGAAACAGTTTGTCATTTTTGTGTGGATGCTGTTGAAAATATATATTTTCGTTACTATCGTTAAGTTTTCCAGGTATTTTTCCTTTGGAGAACAGTTGCAAAGGATGTTATAAAAGGCTGGGAGCCTCAGATTCGAACCCGGACTCCTCAGAGTCCCCCAGCCCCACCTGGTGTCTCCCTTGCCCTTCCCCACCCCCAAGCCCACCCCCAAGCCCATCCCCCATTCAGTCAAAGATTGCCAAAAGGCTCTTCTGTAAAAGGCCAGGAACTTACATGCTAGTGGAGGAGCAGAAATAAAGAAAACAACTTGAGGAGTGATAACTTATGGCAAGAAAAATAACAGCAGAATGAAGGACCAACAAATCAAAGAGGAACTAATTTAGATAAGAGAAACTGGAGAGGCTTCCAGGGCAAGAGGTGTGATCTGATAAACAGATCCAGGAACCAGAATAAAGTGAGGAACCTGGGAAGCAGATCACAGAGCTGGCCCCAGGTTGTAGTCTAGGCTCAGCTCGGAGTGGAAGTGTTTTAAGGTAGTGAAACAGCAACAGCGCCCGGGTACTGCCCCCCTCCCGGAGAACCGATGGGAGATTGGCAGATCACGTGGGAACTACTGGTCAATGGGAAAAGCACTTCCCTAAAGCTAGCCCTCAACTGACCCGGTCTGTGTCTACTGTAAACTTAAGGGGACAGCCAAAGAGAGATTTAGGAGTTACCAGAGGAGAAATTGAAGGCTTTGATTGGGGTCGTTGGGGGATGGGGAGAACGGGGAATATTTAAGATTATTTTGGGGTGCAGCTAATCGAGTCCCAGGGATGAATGATGCACTCGTATTAAAATACGTGCAAATCGAAATTGTAACTAAGTAAAATGGATACAAGAACAATTTGTTAATGTACAATAGTATATTAATAAAATGAAACTTGAACAACAGTCCAAATGAGTGGTATAGCTCACTTGAATCAATGTGGAATCATTTTAATAATGTTAAATGAAGAAGCAAATTAAGTGCTTCTATAAATAATACTCCTTAGATACACCAACCATACATCAGCTTTGAAAAACAAAAATTGTGAACAAGCACAATAGGCTGGAAATGAAATCATTGGGTAACATGAACAAAAGAGGGGAGGGTGAGGCCTTTAAAACCCTGCCACCAATGCTTTCCATCTTGCACAATGCCAACAGGCCTTCGATCCCTGGCATTCCACATGGTTCCCGAGCACCACCAGGTGTAATTCCTGAGTCAGAGCCAAGAGTAACCCCTGAACATCACAGGGTGTGACCCAAAAAGTCTAAAACAAAAAAAAAAAAAAGAAATGGTATAGGGCTGGAGAGATGTATAGGGATTAAGCACTTGCCTTGAATGAGGCTGACCCTGATTCAATGCCCAACTATGTGGTTGGAGCACAGCCAGGAGTGATCTCAAAGCACAATCAGGTGTGGCCCAAAATCCTTTCCCCAAAAGTGGGTATATTAGGCTAGGAAGATAAGCTCAAAGGGCAGTGAGTGCATGTTTTTCTTGTGGGAAGCCCAGGGTTTGATTCCTGGCACCGATTGATTTGCCCAGCACCAGGCTGGAAGTACTATTTCAACACCACCTGTGTGGCCCTAAAACAAAAGGATGGGATAAAGGGTTGGAAGTGTGGCTCAGTGGGAAACTACTCACCTCACTTGTTTGAATGCCTGGCTTCATCCCTGGAACTGCCTAAAATTAATAAATTAATAATAATAATGATAATAATGAAGATTTTGGGGACCAGGAAGTTCATCTACAGGAGGCTCCTAGTTGGATCTCCTCATGTCATTAGAATGAAATACTTAGCCCCCAGTACCAGGGGGGTGTAGCAAAGTTTGGAAAATCCACAGATGAAGCTCACTGCTGTTCTGTTTATGAGTTGCTTGAAGCAGCAACATGATAGAATGGGCCAAATTCAGGGCTGTTGATGTACTTTGAGGATAACAGATTCGTTAACCTCTGGTCCTTATGTCTTCCCCACACAGAGCTAAGTAAACTATGTGAGCTCAAGAATTTCTTTGAAATTATAAACAGTGCTTTTCTTTTGCCAATTAAGTAAATCTCTTAGAAAACAACCTCTGTAACTGGAAGTGTTAGAAATTAACCAGAGGGGCTAGAGCAATAGTATTTCCCTTGCGTCTGTCTGACCTGAGTTCCCTAGCATCTCATATAGTCCCCCAAGTAACCAGGAGAATTCCTGGTGCAGAGCTAGAATTCCCA